CAGTGCCAATCCATCCGGAAACACCAACAACTTCTGTTCTTCAACCAGAAGCTGAACTAGATCAACCAGTCAATCCCAATCAACACAATCTTCGTTGGTTAAGGGATCATCCTCCTCAACAGATCATTGGAGATATTCAATCTGGTGTTCGCACAAGGAGTGCCCAACAGAATCTAGAAGCTATGCTTGCTTGTTTCATCTCACAAGTGGAACCAAAGAATATTGAAGAAGCTCTAGCTGATTCTGATTGGATCAATGCAATGCAAGAATAACTCAACCAGTTTTCAAGAAATGATGTCTGGAAACTTGTTCCCAGACCTACTCATCAACATGTCATTGGGACAAAGTGGGTCTTCCGGAACAAGATGGATGAAAACGGCGTTGTTGTCAGAAACAAGGCCCGGTTAGTTGCAAAAGGATACTGTCAAGAAGAAGGTATAGATTTTGATGAAACCTTCGCTCTAGTTGCTAGACTTGAAGCTATAAGGCTGTTTCTAGCCTTTGCTACTCATAAGGACTTCAAAGTCTATCAAATGGACGTCAAAAGCGCATTTCTCAACGGAAACCTAGAGGAAGAAGTGTATATAGAACAACCTCCAGGATTTGAGTCACATACTAAGGGAGATCAAGTGTATAGACTCAAAAAGGCGCTGTATGGACTCAAACAAGCACCAAGAGCTTGGTATGATACATTGTCTCAATTTCTTATAGGCAATGGATTTACCAAAGGAGTCATTGACAAGACATTGTTCAAACTACAAGATGGTGAAGATCTCTTATTGGTCCAAATCTATGTGGACGACATCATATTTGGCTCAACTAAGGAAGATCTATGCACTAAGTTCTCAACCCTCATGCAAGGAAAATTTGAGATGAGCATGATGGGAGAACTCATCTACTTCCTTGGTCTTCAAATCAAACAGAGAAGCGAAGGAACTCTCATCAACCAAGCGAAGTATACAAGGGATCTTATCAAGAAGTTCAAAGTTGATTAGAAGTCATCCGTTTCTGTCCCCATGAGCACATCCACCAAGCTTGATATGGATGTAGATGGAAAGGATGTCGATCAAACTCTCTACAGAAGGATTATCGGATCTCTACTTTACCTTACTGCAAGCCGTCCGGATATCTCATATGCAGTAGGTGTTTGTGCCAGATTCCAGTCAAAGCCAAAGGAAAGTCATCTGATAGCAGCTAAAAGGATTCTTAGATACCTCAAAGGAACTCAGAACATGGGTTTGTGGTATGCTAAGAGCAATTCATTTGAGTTAGTGGGATACTCAGATTCTGACTTTGCCGGATGCAAAGTTNAAGCAACAACTACTGGACTATGGAGTCAAGACAAAGGAAGTGACAATCTTTTGTGACAATCAAAGTGCCATGGCCATCTCTCAAAACCCAGTGCATCATTCTCGCACTAAGCACATTGATGTCAAGCATCACTTCATCAGAGATCATGTGGAAAAGAAAGATATCAAAATTGAGTATATCTCAACTGAAGAACAACTGGCGGATATCTTCACCAAACCACTAAGTGAAGCCAAGTTTTCGGATTTGCTTCACAAAATTGGTCTAATTCAATTAGACTAAAAGTAGTGCACGTGGCAGTTCACTTTCCACGTCTGTCAAAATGATGGGTGGGGACGTGGCCTTGGGAACAGTTAAAAAAAAATCCAATCGCCACTAGCCGCATAAATCGCCCACATTAAAACCCAATCGCCACTATTCAGATCTCAACCGCCCACTCAAAAATTCTTCGTCATCTTCTTCGCGAAAAATTCTCAAGAACTTGCAAGAACCCTAAGTCTTTCTTTCTCAAATTTTCACCACTTTCACCCAAATTTCTGAGAAAATGAAGGTTGTCGGAGCAAATGTCCACTTCCAGAAGTTAGAAGCCAAGTGCTCCTCACCAACATTCTTCCAAAGCTATCTGCAAATGATAGCCGCTCAAGAACTCTCCGAATTTCTTCAAATGGAGATTCGCCTCAAATTCGAGGAAGAAGTTCTCGAATTCTACAAAAATGGAGAAATCAAAACTGCCCATTCAAAGAAGGACCCACAGAGGACGTTTCCAGTCATCAAGTCCACTGTTGGAGGTACAAAAGTAAAGCTTTCGCAGAAGAAATTGGGAGAAAAGCTTCGCCTTCCCAATTCTGGAGTTGAAGTTGGGAAATTTCCAGTCAAAAATCTGGACTGGAACATCATTGGAATTTCTGGGCGAACTCTTTCTGGCCCTGCGAAGAAAGGAGATCTAAACAACGATTATAAGTTGGTTTTGGAACTGGTTATCGCTTGCCTCGAGTGTGGAAGTGGAGGTCATGCCGATGACATCACCCAGGAGAGAGCCTTCATTATCAACTCTCTCATTACCAAAACTAAGGTAAACTGGGCTGCAAACTTTTTCAATTGCATCTCAAAGCACTTGGGAAAGCCCAACCAGAAATATCTCTGTCAAGGACTATGCCTTGGACATATTTTGGGATCTATGGGGATTGCTTCTAAAGGAAAGAAGTATGAAGAAAGATACTGGCTATATTATCTGTCTACAAAAGGGGAAAACAGAGCTGGCACTAGTGCCACTGCAGAAGAAAGCTCTTCAGATAACATCCCACTCATCCATATGACGAAGACTACCAAAAGGAAGAAAGTGGTGTCTCCCTCTATTGAAGCACCACAGAATCTTGCTCCAATAAAACTTGAAGAAGAGGAAGAATCCTCTGACCAAGGAGAACTTCAAAGGAAGAAGAAGAGGAAGATCAACTCCCCCTCAACATCTGGAAATGTCAATCCGGATGAGTTGAAGGAAAAGGAACCTGCTGAGGAAACATCTGCTCATAACCAGAGCCCTCAACAATTTGAAGAAGAAATTCCTCAAGTCCAAAGCCTTCCAACCTCATCTCAGCATCAAACAGATGATGCAGATAACCAATTCTGGCAGCTATACTATGATTGGAAAGCCTGGAAAGTTGGAAATTCAGCAGAGCAACTGTTGAATTGGGACCAACAGCTGAAGAATGAGAAAATCATCAAGAAGTTCTTAGGAATACTAGTCAACCACAACTGTGAACAGATTTTGGATGACTACTGGGTATGGCAAAGAAACCCTGAAGACTTGCATCTGGAATACCTGGCCAATACACCAGTTTCAGACTGTGAAACAAATGATGAAGACACTGCAGTCTTCAAGCCAGTCTTCTCAAAAGCTACAGAAGATCAAGTGGCTCTCACTTCTGAAGCAACAGCTGAGGATTTCCAAACATTTCCGGAAACCTCACCTGCATTTCAGGAAACTTCACATGCTTCTGAAATGGTTCTGACTGAAGTTGTTCAAGAAAAGGCAACCCCTCCCTCCCAAGAACAGAACCAGGAAACAGCAGATGAAGAAGAATTTCAGCCACTAATCCAATCTCAAGTTTTGGAGATTCTCACCACTCCTTGTGAGATCTCCAATCCTACTGAAATTGAGATCCCGGAAAAGTCAGCTGAAATTCCGGAACAGTCAGCTCTTCCAGAAACAATGGAGCAAGCTGTTGAAGCACAAAGGAATTCTGGAGAAGCTGCAAAAAAACCTCAAATGGCAGAACTAGAGGTCTTTGAAACTCAAGTAGCCATTTTTGAAGAAGAGAATAGAGCTGAAGAAAGGGACTCCCTCTCTAGGGATATATCAAATTTTGTGCTTGAAACAGAAGGAGAATCTGAAAGAACACTGAAGGTTACTGATGAAGAAGATGTCCAAGAAGATGCTGAATCTCTTCCTATGCAACTCTTCCAAAGAACACCATCATCTCATCAGGTAACCAACTTTCATTTCCATAGCTCTTCCACCCCTGCTCTTCCGAATGAGATACCGGAAATCTGGACAAATAAGGTCCAAGGGTTGATTGAATCAGCCCTAGCATCTCAACATGCCTCCTTTAGGCAAGAGATAGAACAAATGGAAGTCAGGGACACCCAGCTAATAGAGAAATCTGAAGGAAAACATAGCGCAGATCTCAAAGAAATAAGCAAATCAGTGCAGAAGACTCTGGAGATTATCTCTCTATTGAGTGAAACTGTAAGCAACACGATGGAAATTTATGCCTCTGACAGTCAGCTTCATCTCAAAGAGATCAACAAAGTCAAAGAGCAAATAGCGAGTGTCACAATTAGTCTCCAAAAACAGATGTCCCTTCTCCAAATGGACATCAGATCAGCCCTAGCAGTAGCTTCTGCAAATCAGGTAGTAACCAAAAGACTACTTGAAGGTGATCATTGACAATCAAAAGGAAGCATACAAGCTGTTCAGACTTATTGGTGCAAACTCTGGAAACCGCAAGATGGAAGTAATTCTCCAACAACACAGTCCATCTCCAATACCACATCTCCCTATTGCAATCAAAGAAGGAGAAGTATCTTATATTCCTTCTCATCTGAACTTGACAAATCTAATCCTTGAAGCACAGCAAAGAAATCCGGAAAACTCAGCACAACTTCTATCCAGCTCAGGACTGGATGGAACAGAAGTTATAGGTACAGTTGTTGACCAATTCTCAAATGATGCTCAATCAGAAGAAAGACGTGAAAATTTAAGACGCATTAAAGAACTGTGTGGGAACATGAAGGGCATCAGTGAAGTTGCCGGATCTTCAAAGCGCAAGAGAAACTGAAGGTTCTTTACATCAAAATAGGGGGAAAGTATGTGAAAACACTAATTTGTTTTGATGAAAACACCTTCTTGTTTAAACATTGCTTGATTGGTTTTAAATTGCGCTTATTATGCTTAATTATGCTTAACTATTTTTTTTGAAACGCATACATTCAGGGGGAATGTAATTCAGGGGGAAACTTAACTAGTTTTGGCTAACAATTATTTTTGGCAATGAATTATTGATAAGCTCAAAGCAATGGAAGATGGATATCTCAGTCTTGGTACTAAAATTGGAAATCTCCGATTCAGGTACTTTACAAAATCTACCTTCTTAAACTAAGCTTCAGTCCTTAATTCATTTCCAACCAACTCTAAAAGTACTGGTCCCTAGGATGTTTAAAAATGTACAGGACTTTGGAAAAATAGTACCACTTTTCTTTTAATTATTCACATTTGTTTTGGTGCTACCTCGTCCTAAGTAGAAATTAGAACTATAGGGAATGAAAAATGATAGTCTTATTTTGGGACTTGAGAACCCAATAGGAATAATTTCCCTTTAGTACGTAGCTTTCTGTTCTTTTTGGGCCACTCTTTTGGGCTTAGCCAAACTAAAACAGTTACGTTTCTCAAACCAATCGAAACTGATTTTCTAATTAAAACAGTTTTTGTTCTTTGGTAACTGGTAAAAGATTCCTTTTGCTTTTCAACTTCTTGGAAGTTGAAACTCATTTACTCTCACCGTTCCAACTACCCACTTAATGGAACCCGTGAACCTCCTCCTCCCCTATTTAAATCAAGATATCTCAATCCATTTCCATCACAAACTACTCTCTCAATATGAAAAGTCCTCAAACTCACTGTCTAAGGAACACACCAAGAAAAATATCCTCAATGGAGAAATTTTTCTTTCTCACCCTCATAGACGGAAATGGAAGAAGCCTATTGAGAAGAAAAGACTTTTAAGGTCTATGGTGAGAATCTCGGCAGTAGAGAAGGTCTATGGTGGAAATCTCGTATTTTTCAGTATTAGACCATACACCTTCTCTGGAACAACACTCTCTCTCTATCTTTCTTCTTATTTTGAGAGATGTGTTGCTTCCAAGATCTTAAATATCCACTTTGGATATTAAAGATCTATCAAACGCAACGCCAACCGCTCTGCCAAGCAGAATCTGCTGAAGCTGAAAACGGTCAATGGCGGAAGATATCACAAAATCTCAAGACAAGACTTGGTTTAGGAATTATTGTAATTTGAATTGTATTTGTTTAAGAGTTTTTGTTAACAAGCTGTATATTATGA